TTAATATGAGCCAAGTGGATTGAGGCGAGGGGGGGGGGGTTCTGGTGCTTGCTCCCCGACTCCGGCCTCATCCATCAGTGTCAGTCCCCTCACCTCCGGTTCCTCCCGGTCCGCCTCTGATGGTCATCATTTCAGCTCCGGGCCTCTGTCCTGTCCTCACTTCCCTGCTCGTCCTTCCTATAATGGTCCCTGTGGACGTGGTTTAGGGGTCATCCACGGATCACTGCCAGCAGAAAACACTGCAGCTGACACAGTGATCTGTTCACAATGACGGGACTGTACTTCAGTACAATTTGAAGGTGTTTGTACCAGAGGGGCTCACAAGTGGAAGCCCAAGTCAAGTCTCAATTCTATTAGCTAGAGTCCAAACCAAGTCTCAAGTGTTTGAGTGAGAGTCCAAGTCTCTTTACACTGTACTAATGTAAAATATTGAAATACTTCCATCACTGTCTATATCAGAGATGTCTATATATTCTGTATCACGTGTAAGAAATGCAAGAAAAGGGAATTTACTGTAAATGTAATACAAATTGATTTGTTTTATTTGATAAGATATCTCCTTTGTTTTGTGCCTTCAAGAAGAACTCTCTTACAGTAGAAACGTTCTGCCTATCTGCTTAAAAGTAAGACTAAATGTCTCTGTGATAACTCTTCTGTGCTGAATCTCATGATGGTCTCATGCATGATAATTCCTCACATTATAGCATTCACATGCTTCATATGTCGCCATTGTTCCTGAAGGTCCGAACATCATTTGAGATGCTGATCTTGGAGGCAGGGTTTCTCTCTGGGTTTCCCCCTGAATGCTGCAGTTTCCTCCATCAGTCGGTTAAGTCGGGTGGAGTCTAAATCTGCCGATCGCGTAGCTATGAATGAGATTCTCTGTTATCTGTTCATGAGAGACTTGTAATGCTGGTCACAGTCGGCTCCAGCCCTCCGGCTGCGTGAACAGGATCGGGCAGGTAGAGAATATAAAAGTGTCAATCAAGTGTCACCTCAGCCTTTTCTGGAGAATGACTCGGGTGAAGATCAGTTCAGCCTGGCTCAACATACTGTGTGTGTGTGTGTGTGTGTGTGTGTGTGTGTGTGTGTGTGCACACAGTTCTGTGTTCACGACGTAATAAGGGAGTTAAAGATCATAACAAATACTCGTCTCAAATTTAGAATTAACACCCCTCCTTACGATGGGACCTTTTGAATACAGCCGAAACAATCGGCGCATATGAGCAGCATCACAGGTGAGACCTTCACCTTATTATGTTTCAAGTGTGTGGTCATGTGTGTTGAATGTGAATGGTTTAGAATAGACTGCTGGCACGGCTGCTTGTGTTTCTGGCCCGACTGCTCATTTAAGTGTCATGCTCTGTGTAGGATCTGCCAAGAACTGCAGAAGAAGAAACCTACCGTGTTGCACGAGCGTCGACAATGCAACAAGTCTCGAGCTCAAGTTTCCAGCACTCACTGCTGGAAAATAATCCAAAAAAAAGTCATAACTTTAAGGTTTAGAAGTCATTTGTTTTATATTTTAATTCATTTCTTTCCTCATAACTTTGTATTATTTATTCTTCTTATGAAGAGTGTTCTTTTGACATGTTTGTTTATATGGAAAAGAAGCATAGAAATATGATGTTTTGCTGTCTTGGAAAATGATGCTTCACAATTATACATGTCCTTTACTCCATTACAATTTAGCTGTTTGTTATCGTTTATCATATGTTCATATATTCATACAAATCACTTTAGAAACAGTCCATTGGGAAAGCAATGAAACAGCTTTTTATAACTATACATATGGAGTTTAATAGAGGACGTTGTTTTCATGTCTTGATATCGGTGCCTGTGCTGTCAAAGGTTAAACTTTCTTTCTGCAACTGCAATTTTTTACCCAATGTTCAAGCTGCAGTCACAGTGAGAAATCAATTCAGATCAGAAACAGTTTCAGACCAATTCTTTTACAGGAGCAGGAAAAATACCAGAAAATGCAGCAGCCACATTACATGTGTTCTCAATGCAGGGGCATGAATCTCCCCGTGTCACCTCCATCACTGCACACAGAAACTCTTTATGCAGAGAATTTGTTCAGAAATGACAACAGATAATCACAAAACTTCCTGGAACTCACAAGGAGAAACTTTTAATTCCTTTTAGATCAGAGCCAACTACAACTGAGGAAGAGGAGGTTGGGGGTCGTTGTTTCCAAGCTTCATCATCCATCGTCCCCCATAATCGCTGGCTAATGACGGGCTTCCTGTCAGAGGGGAGGAGGAGGGGGGGGGGATTATCTCCACATGACAGCTCCATCTCTGTTGATCCGTCTGAAGTTTACACACAGGTTTGGGATTTGACACGACAAGACGGTCAGGAAAAAACATATATATCTCTATCTCTCTCTATCTCTCTCTATATGGGAAAGATTGAAATTCACGTATGAAATTCCTCTGGGGATGAAAAAAAAACTGAGTGGCAGCTTTCTGCAGACGAGATGTTCAGGAAAGCAACTTGTGGGAGGAAAAAGATAACGTAACAGTTTTCGCTTTGCTTTCAGTATCACCTCATCATTAGTGAGCTGTTTACACTTAAAACAGACATATTTCATCACATTTATGTGTCAAATTTTTGCGATACACAAATTAAAGAAAAACTTAGGAAACAGCTTTTTCTTGATCCAAACATCAAAAATACAAAAAGATTTTGCCATTTCTTTTCCAGTATATTTTCTTGAATATATACACACGGCTACATGCTTTCATTGTAAGCAGCGAATGTCGATCGAGCAAAACGCTTGACCTAAATAGGGATTTAATAACCTCATTCTGGGTGACCAGGCTGGATCAGCGTTCCGCTAATCCTAAACGCCACATCTGGGAGCTGAGAGGGCCCCATATCCCTCTCTCTCTGCTCCTCTGGGATAAACAGACCCGGAGCTGAGAGATTTGAACTCTGAGCATCGACTCGTGTGAGATTAACGTGGGGGGCTTTCGGTCTGAAGCCTTTGCTTTTTGGTTTTTACGCATGTAAGGCCGTCAAATAAAAACGACCTGCAGAGTGAGAGTATATTGTCAAAGGTGGCGTTTTCAGAGCGCCATTGAAACCTACGTCGACGAGCTGTAAAGGCTCATTTTGAGCATAATGTGTCGTTATATCAAGGATTCAAGGATTATTTATTGTCATTATACAACACAGGGATGCACAACCAAATTCAGTTGTAGCCCATTCGTAACACAACAAACCGACGACAAACAAAACAAACACAGTAGTACATCCCTGCAGGGCATTTTTATGAATTTGCATCATCAGGAACGTAAACAGCAGCAACAAAAACTATTCTCTGATCAGATAATATGGCCGACATCTTTACATTAAAAATCAAACATGAGGAAAACATTGTCCATCGACTTTGACTGACGTTTGAGCACCAAGCATCGTGATGTAAACACAGAGTCCACCTCTCCTGATCCCACCAGAGTCCTGCACTCTGTCCGTCAAGTGCAGCTTGATCCTGGACCACCATGGACTAAGGTCTCAGTGAAGATGTGGGCCCAACAGTCACTGACCTCCCGCTGCTTTCATCCATCTTATTTTTCTGTAACAGAACATCAGACAGCCAGGAGCATGCTGGGTAGTGGAGTAGCCTTTAGATCCTAGCTGGGTTAGCTTAGCTTCCATCTCGGCTCTCCTCCCTCTCCTCCCCGGGGCAGTTTGGTGGCGTTCGGTCCGTTTGGTCTGGCTAGTTGGTCGGCCGCTGCACTTAATCCCCACGCTTCCTATTCCGATGTTGATGAATGTATTCTGTCATATGCCGTTAGTAATAAACATGAAAAAAATAAACAAATAATGACAAAAATGTAGCAATATTCATGGTGGCTACCGGCCGCAGCATGCACATGCGCCGCCATTGCCATAGCAAAAAAAAAAAAAGGTTATGGTTTATGACGTTTGAACGAGCCTGATGAGATTTTGGTAAAAGATATTTGAGATTATAGAGGCGAAGTCCCGCCCCCTGTGGTGTCCCCCATGTTACGTTATTTCGGGAAAAAATATATACAGTAGTCAACGGCGAGAGACAAATCATTTTTTGACCCATTTAAACTCTGTCATGAATTACACACACGCTGAAAAAGAATTCACTCGCTGAACTAAAAAAGTTAAGGTAACAATTTACATAGATCTTTTTAAAGTATTCCCAACTCTGGCATTATTGAGTTAATCCTGAGTCTTTTATAATCTGACTGACCTAATAAATTGAGTGCAACCAACATGATTTGCCTCGACCTCACATGAGCTTAACTAAGTTAAACTAACTTAATATTAATCCAAAAGTTGTGGTGATACTAAGTTCAAATTGCATTATTCAAGCTATTCTAACTAATTCATTTTGATTCTATTCTACCTTCCATGCAAATTGTTACCTTAATTATTTGAGTATTAGTAATTCATTTTACTTAAATTTGTATAAATTACACGTGGAAGTCGTTTATTACAGCCCTATGTCTACATATGATGTTTGTCAATTTTAAAGATAATAGAAAATAGAGTGATTAGGTGATTTGCAAAGTTTATTATCAACCTATTTTGAATATCTTTATTCACTTTGTCATATTATCGGTGCACCGGGACCGCTCGCTGGGTTATTTTACATCTTCGGAGGGCCGACAAATGCTGCTGTCAATCTCTCTCTCTCTGTCGGCGACGCACCGCCTCCTCTCCAGTTGGGAGCGCACCGGGGCTTCGCATCTGGGTTTTTCTTCGCTGTCGGTCGGTCGTTCGGTCCACGCCCACACGACTGCCCGCTTCCCCCGCTGCAGCAGCAGCAGCAGTAGCGGCCCGCACACACATCGGCTGAGGGCTTTATTTTTCCCACAGCGGAGACGAACCTAATCACAGCTCCTTCAATCTGTCAAATATCATCTCTCTCTCTTTCTTCTTCTCTCTCTCTCTTTCCTTTCAATGCCCGCGCGTAACGTGATTTGCGCTCAGCAGCGCAATAGTTAACGAGCGCCGGATGCGCCCTCGCTCCAAGCAGAGACCGCTACAGTACGAAGATGGCGTCGGAGGGAGCCAGCGGAGAGCAGCCTCCTCCGGTACAAACACTGGCAACCGCCGTGCTGGGAAGCGTCGACACGGTAAGACGTGAACAGCCTGAAGGGAATACACACAAAAAACCTCCTCTCCACGGGGGGTGGGTGTTGTTTTTAAACGTTTGGTGGCGCAGGAAGCGGTCGCGGTGGGATTGAAGGGGAGGAAAAGCAGTGCGCATCTATGAAGCAACAGCGGTGGCCAGTGGAGAGCCCTCGCGACAATGTCTGGAGAAAGAACACAGGAGGGGGGTTCGGTGTAAGGGTGAGACATGACTCAGACACGCGACTCCTAAAATATATATAGCTATAATACGCAGAATGGGATGTTTCTATGTGTCTTGACATTTAAAGTGAATTCTTTTGTTCGCCTCCCCCGGCTGCTTTTTCAACATTTCACCCCGCTGCTGTAACGTTATCCTGCGGATGATCGAAGGGGACACCGTGGCTTGGTTTGGAGCTCCTGTAACAGGAGATGTGCGCAGAGACCTTGGAGATATGCGCTGCAGGACAGTTTCATCTTTATATATCGAGGCCGGTGGTTGATTTGCTCCTGAAAACCTTTTTATTCCATTTATTTCTTGCAAAATCTATTCACAGCCTGCAGATCTGCGAGTGGCATGGTTATTTTACTGAAGTTGTGCTCCACCAATCAGTCCTACATGATCGCTGACAGGGTTTCATAAGGTTGCAACCTGGAGGTCCCTCCTCAGGGTTTATACGCACGCATGCACGCGCACGCACACACACACACACACACACACACTGACTCCAGACAAAGTCTTTCCTTTAACAGCTGTCCTGTTGTTGAGCTGTCTCTTGTTTACACACACACACACATAGTTGTGATTTCTCACAGGTTCACATCCCTCTGTGCAGGTTGATCAATCTCTTGCCCCCCCCCCCCTTACCCTGGGATGCAACCTGCCACACTGTTGTCATCCACCCCGGCAACTTAATGCTATATGGGTGTCGTGCGTTTTTTTGCCACTTGAGTTTCTGTTTTATTAAACTTTAAGTACCACATCCAGTACAATAACCCCCCCCCCATCCACCCACATAAACCCACTTCTTTGAATGTAGGCTGCTGAAAAGTTGCTGGAATAGAAAGCAGCCACGGGTCCCTGAGGTGAGTGGGTGGTAGTGTGGGTGTTGAGGTGGGGGTGGGTTTGAGCGGTGAGCTGAGGAGATAGAGGGGGGGGGGGGCTGCTCACCAGACACCTTTCTAAATTGGTCTTAATTTCAGTGACTCAGCTGGCATAGCTGGGAGTACCGTGTCAGCCTGCCCTCCCTCTTCCGAGCGCGCTCAGAACTGCCCCGAGGCCACTTTATACATTTAGCGTTGAGGTGAACAGGTGCTCCGGAGACATGGGAGCCGGGCAGCCTCCTCGGCTCGCCCCGGCGCTCCTGCCAGCACCCTCTTCCTCCAGCGAACGGGGGGCTTCCGCCTCCATGACCCTACCCCCCCTTCCCCCTCCCCTCCACCTCCCCCACTCTCATCATGCCTGTGGTGGTTAAATAAAGCACTTTGCTCTTTGCTCACCCCTGTCAGACTCTCTGCTGTTAGCCCAAGGTGGGGGAAGCTTCTCGTTTTGTGAGGTCTCTGAAGGATCGGCCCCCTGCCGTCCAGAGAGGGGTCAGAGGTCAATGAGAGGAGCTCTGATGGTCACCTCCCACTCGTTTACCATAATACATGTTGGTGTGGCACACAGCATGTATGCAACCTGTCCTGCTTCCGGTTCTGAAAAGTGAAGCCAATGCTGAAGTGTCTTAAAACCTGCATTCTTTCTAGTGTCCACCAGGGGGCGACTCCTCTGGTCTTAAACATGAGTTTATGGTCACAATCTCTAGTTTCAAGTCTTCTTCAATTAGTAAATTATGGTCCATTTAGAGTCAAATAGACCATAAAGCAGGGTATGCTTTATGGCATACATGGCATCACTCCTCCTCAGTCCAAATACGGTCACTTCCGTTTACCGGTTGCAAAAAGCCAAGATGGCGACGGCCAAATTGCAGAACTCGTGGCTTCAAAATGTCAGTCAACAAACCAATAAGTGACCTCACGACGACTACGTCCACTTCTTAAATACGGTCTTTGATCCTGCTGAAGTTAAAGGACAACATGCTTATTTAAAAGATAATTCGTTATTTTGTTTAAGTTGATGAGATCTGAGGCTGCTGCAACATCTTGAGTCCAAGAAACACGAGCAGTCAGATGATTAAAACGTTTATTCGGTCTGCTGTTCAATGGTTGCAAGTCACTGAAGGCTAAAATAAGCCAGCTGTAACTCAAAGCTGTCGAATCACTTGTTGTTGGCCGAGAAGGCCAAAACAGTTTAGCCTTAATTAAAGTGCACAGCTCGTCCCTATAACCTGAAAATGAGATGCGCTGTATGTAATATATCAAATGTGAGTTTAATGCATCTGACAGATTAAATTAACAGTCGACAGTACCATCTGCTGAAGGTCCCGATTCAGAACCAGTAAGTTGAGCAGATTCAGATGTTGACCTGAGTCAAAGTTTAAGATTCTTGAATTCATTCCTCGTTGAACTACAATAAACACTCCGTTCTCAGTCCTGCATAGGTGTTGCAGAGTGATGCGTCCCGTCACTCACATACAACCTTTGTCTGAATACAGACACCAGCTGCAGAGAGAGAACTTTTCATTTTGGCCTTTACAGAATTAATGTTAATTATCTACAGCTGATCTGATGTCTGTCATCTTAACCAGCTGCACACGAGAAGCCTGCTTCCTTCATGTGATGAGAGACGAGATACATCTTTATTTATCCGGAGGGAAATGGATGTGCAGAACAATAACCAAAAGAGCAAATCCCCAAATATATACAAAGACAAAAATCATGTTTTGTCAGAGATTTGATAGTCTGAGCTTGATGAATCCATCGCAATATGCAGACTGGGAATCTGATGCAGAATTTAGCCGATGCGTGGTGTAAACAATCGCCGAGTTTAGCCATATTTCGGTGAAACTAAAAGTGAGCCACCCAAAATTGTAAGATAGTCTGTCATTGCGTAGAAACCATGTGTGCACACACACTTCAGCAGGAAGTCGGTCTGCAAAATCAAATGAAAGGTTGGATAACTTGTGTTTTCTATCTGTTTGACTTCCCAGTAAGTTGTCGTGTTTGTTGAAATGACGTTCATCAGTGAAATATCGTCATGATAGATGATAAAAACTACAGAAATGTGACCCAGGTTGTTTTTTAAAATGTCCCCCAGCTCGCTTTAATGTCTGGCAGTGACCATTGTGTGAGTGAGTGGTTATGTGGGACATGCTGCCACGTTGCTGAAGTGCCATCAACACGAGTGGCTGTAATGTCATCGCTTCTTCGTCCTGACAACAAAATCATTTCTGTGCTCCCACACAGGAGGTGATTCAGGTTACCCTGTAAACAAGTTGGATAGGTCATCACAGAAGATTAAGTATAATTGTAAAGTTTATTACAGGGTCACTTCATCCAAATAACAAATAATCCTTCCATGCAGAATATGCCTGTCACGATAAATACTTTTGCTGGATGATATATTGTCCCAAAAATAACTGCGATGAATTATAATATTGTGATTTTAAGACCATTTTATGCCACTGAAATGATAATATAATAGCATGATAATACAAGTGCACCCTTTCAAAGAGCAATGAACTCTTAAGTCTTAATGAGTCGATAGCATAACAAAGATTGAGGTCACGTCCAAATATCGTACGATAGGTCGATCATTCTAATGAGTTGCACTCAGAGTTTTAAACTTACTGTATTGTTAGATACCACAAAATAATATATAAAGGACTTTTTAATTCAGTGTTTCCCTCAACACGATGGTACTATTTTCTCGTTACCCCTCACAGGCGTCTTATTCACAGGCGGTCACATCACACAGTTTTGTAGTAACGGGACACGAGTCCGTGAGAGAAACTCAGCCAGACGAACAACACAAAGAGTGAAATGACACGAGGCTTATTACGTGGACCGCGAGCTCACAGCGAGCCGGCCGGGCTGCTCGTGCCCTCGGCGCTCAGCACGCGGAACAAAATGAGTGTTCGCTTGTTTCACCTGCTCACTGTGCAGAAACGCCAGAGAGAATCAGCCCCTCCGCCTTCCAACCCCGAGGCCCCCGTGACAGGACGGCGAGGCTCAGGGCTGCCGTCCGTCAAGCCTCCCCGAGTCGTCCGATTCTCTTGAGTGGCGAACGCTGCCGGGAAACGAGACTAAACGAGAGGGGCTCGGGGTTCGATGAGGATGAATCAATCGCTTCTGGAATCTCTGCTGCTTTCATTTCCAGGCTTGCTGTGTGACGTGAAAACGTGGTCTGACTAAACTGAAACACTTTCCAGCTCCTTGTTCTGAAAAGAAAATATTAGATTAGAGTAACATTAGAAGACTCAAAACTTCCTTTTGTTAAAGAATGATTTCTTAATTAAAAACCTGTGATTTGTCAGCACCTGCCCTTTTAAAGGAGAGAGTGTTGGCCTGTTTATTCATATGGATTCATCACCACTGTTCCCGTTGTGTGAGCATGAACTTTTCCCCTCTCACGGTGAAATAAACAACATCACCGGAGCGTATAAAGGACACGTAGAAGGCAGCAGCTTGATGAAATCTCACGGCGGCCTGTTCAAAGTCACACTCTGTGTGAGGGACCTCTGGACCGACTCCTTGATGAAATGGAAGAATCTTGGCCGCGGTTTGGATGTAGGTTTGTAAATCAGGCTTTACGTGACGACCGAACGTCACCAGAATGAGCAGGTAGCGATCCGCCCGATGTGCACCAGAGGCCCGGGACGCTCTTCGCTTCCTCCTTTTCCCGCTTTGTTTTACTAAAGTCTTATTGGACAAATAGCCTCCTGAAAAGCCTCCAGATATTGAGGATGCAGCTGGTTGTTGTTCTCTATTAGCAGATGGCTGCTGCAGTCGCCAACACGGTTAACTGGAAACTCTACTGTCGCCGACCTTCAGTGTTAAACTCTGGCCCCTTTTTTATATTCATTTCACTCACCTAGGTTTGAGTCAGAATGAGTTCAATCCCTTTCGAGGTCCCTGAACACAACAATTAGACGCTGTGCTTTGGAATGTTGACTAACCAGATGTTGCTGTGGTGTTAAGGGTCGTGACCAGGAAATCCAAAACCCCCAAAATCACGATGTCATGAGAAAAAGTTCCTCTTGGTCTGTTGTTGAATTTAACATCTTAAAAACACCAGTCTCCTGTCACATTTCTGATGTTTTAAGTTAGTTACTAAACTGTCTCAGGGACTTTTTTTAAAACTTAATTCCTTTTATTTATCTGGAACTTTATTCCTCAAAAAAAAGTACCAATACATTACAAAATTTGCAATTAACAAAAAAACACATATCAAAATGTATAAAAAGAAAGTACTCCTCGTGTAGACTGGCCTCTTCAGAGCTTTATGTTACTGTATTGTACATTTGACTTTGAATTATTTAACTGATTATTAACAATAGTATTTGATTGTTATTATTATTTCAGATTAATTAACATGCAAGCAGCATTTTAATGCTGAAGCTGGTCTTAAAGGAGACAACTCACTGATTTATGTAACCTCATTTTAGGTGAAGACTACAACTAAATGTAATGTAAACTACAATAATGCACCATTTTTATAAGCTGAATTTATGTTTGTTTTGTTAAATCTTTATCTGCAAATTGTCTTAATTTAAATTGTCACAGACTACACACAGAAAATAGATCAAGTCGTTGCAATGGAGTGGATTCATACAACTTAATTAAAATTTGTGAGGCATTTACAGGTAGAGGAGAGTTTTCAGTTTTTTGCATTTTATAAAACCCCCCAAAATCCACAGTGCCGTCTGGTTCTATAAACAACATTTACATTTTTATAGCGCGGACAATGTGATTCCCAGTCCCAGTATTTCAAGAAGAAAAGAAGAAATAAGAGAGTAAGTAGTAAGTAGTGGATTCTTCCCATGAACAGACGTTCTGCTTTTCATAAGTAGACCGCGGGAAAAAACAAATCTTTTAATTGACACGAGGGGAAGCATGAAGTGTTTCTGGTCAATCCCAATTACAGTCATCTCCACCCATTAGCCTCGCGACCGCCACTGACCACGTAGGTGCTTAATGACCTGGCTAAATGTAATTAGGCCCTAATAGCTCCGAGGTAGGACGGGACATCCAGCCTAATTTAATGGGCTGCTCTTAATGAGACCAGGTGGAGACCTGCAGTAAGTGGTGCATTTGTCATATTAGCAACTTTTTTCTTCTTCTACACAAAGCAGGTGCAATGTTGGACCAGTTGTCAGATCTTTGGTTTGCATAATAATAACAGCAGCAGTAGCTCAACAATTCAATTGTCGGTTGGAGACGGTTTCGTTGGTTTTACTGTCCCAACATTTTGGTCCAAACTGAACTCCATTTGAAGCTATTAAATGGGCTTTGGTCAACATTCATGATCCCCAGAGGATAATCCTTTTAATCTAGAGCCACCAACAGTTAATTAAGAACTGAACCAACATTGCTTTATTATTATTGTATGTAAACAAATAGTGTTTCTTGAGCAGCAACACAAAACGTTCCCAACATCTTTAAAATGCATTCGCAGCTTAACAATTAGCTTAGCGATTAGCTTTCATTTATTAGCCTGTTCCTATTAACAAGCTCCGTATGGCATCGCTAACGTTAGCTGCAGTGGACGAGGATGGACGGCTGCTCGCCTAACAGTAGAAAACTGAACATTTCTGCAGATTTGTGTTCTGCTTGTTGGTCACATGTTGTGATAAACTGCAGCTGTTACCTCCCTTACTTGTGAGGGTTTTATTGCTCAGGCCTGTCTATTCCCCGACCTTATTTGTTCAGCTTTCTTCTATTTGTTCTGAAGGGTTATGTCTGTTTCTGTGTAAGTACATTGAGAGAAAATGCAAAAACCAGAGTCACACATACTTGGGCAGTAAGGCTGATTGTGATCTCGGGGTTTTCGATACTCACCTTCATGAAAACAGTTTGATGTAAGAAGTATCAAGGGTCCAATACCCAGCCATATGTATATTGTATTGTGAGATTCTGACGTGTTTGTTTTCCGTCCTGTGTTGCAGAAATGTGAGTTCAACATGGATAACCTGAGCAAGCCAGAGCTGCTCACCCTGCTGAGTATCATGGAGGGAGAGCTGGAGGCCCGCGACCTGGTCATAGAGGCCCTGAGGGTGAGTCCGGACAACACACACTCCCGTACTCATTAGCTAAGCCTCTGCCATCTCAGCCATTGTCGGGTTAAGTTTCAACACGACCTGTTTCGGAGCGGGCCGAGACTTGAGATGAGATGATGAGCTGCGATTGTGACCCAGAATTGAGTTTGGGATCGCTTGGTTTAATGAGCGATGAATGGTCACGAACGCCGCTAAATGAATACGGTATCGCAAGATCTGAGGCAGTGACTTCCCCCCCCACCCCACCCCACCCCCGAGAAATATGCACTACACTGCTGTGATCACCATGAAAGACTGCCCCACTGTTTCTTTCTTTGCTTTGTAATTACTCGCTGATAAGCAGTCTCTCTCTCTCTCTCTCTAATTGCCTTTGTTGAATGGGAGCTGGCTGAGCGACTGGTTAGCACTTCCTGCCAGAAAAGACCAGTGTGATCAAATCCTGGTGTCCACCCAGCACCACCTGCTTAACTATCAGTAACAAACAGACGGCTGAGGTCGCTGCTTCTGGCTCCTGTTGTTCCTTAGTGACTATTGAAAACCAATTAGGTAGGTGCTGCTTGAGTAAAATGTGAAATTGTTTCTATTTGCATACATAGTGGAAATTTGAGCTTGAAATACAAGCAAAGTTCTCAGCGCTGTCTCTAGGGGAACACTGCTAAACTATGTGATTTTTGAGGATGGAAAGTTGGTCTTTCTGCTGATGTTTGGTATGTTTCAAAAATGTAATTTGATGGTAAAACCGTAGCTGGTCCACAAACAAGACACCTGGTTTTTGTTTCTGAATCTTTTCACCTTTTAAAAGAAATCTGAACCAGTGGTTTGAAGACGGTGATTTGCGTGGATGGAAAACCAGTGGATAACAGCTCACAGTCTGCAGGTGGACTACCTGCAGTTACACTATAAGCTGTCCAGCGTGGAGTGTTCTGCACTTCATTTAAAGGAGCTTTATTTAGCATTCTGAACATTAATATAGCAGCAAACAACTATTATCAATGTAAAGACATAGTGGAGCAACTGTTTGCGCGCTCAGCACTGCTGCCGTGGTTTGCGCTGTTAGCATCGTTAGCTACGAGCCGCTGGCTCGCCGTCGACGTCTTGCGAGGCAATGGAAATACATTTCTGAGCGTTTCCTGTCCTCGGTGTGTGTGTGTGTGTGTGTGTGTGTGTGTGTGTGTGTGTGTGTGTGTGTGTGTGTGTATATAAATTATACTGCCCGTGTAAATGGCAGAACCATGAAGGTTGGGATGAGTTTAAATATATAATGTATTGATCTGCAGTAACCGAATACTGATGCTGCACTGACGATGACTCTGTGGTGTCCCGGACAGCCTGTCTCGCCCGTCTCGCCCTCTCGTTAGAGATCGCTCCTCCCTCCAACGGGGCGGGAACGCCGAGTTATTTGCAAGCAAACACTCGTATGCCCCCTTCTATCTATCTCTCTCTCTGCAGTTCTGTATTTAGGTCAGGATCGGCGCCTCACTTTGTCCACGCTCTACTTTTAAGGCTGTCCGCTCAGGCTTTTTTAAAAATAAGCTGTTCATGTGCAACTCATTCTCAGTGTTGGGACTCCAGGGAAGCAGAGAGACGTTCTTATCAAACAATTAGTACTGAAGTTTGTAGTTGATTCTCTAAAGCAACAAAATGAGCCTCGATCGCTCTGTTGCACGCCGAACGCAATCTACATGTTGCAGGGATCGGTGCGGTGACTTTTTCTGTCTGTGTCGCTGTTATTTCGCTGTTAGAAAGCTGTTGACATTTTGTTCAGTTTTCCCTGATGTTGAGCTTGTTGTGTGGCTTTAAAGTCACCGACCTTGCTGATATTGAACAGCGGCTATTGACAGTAATTCCTCCTCCTCTCTTTCTATTCAGGTTTATCCATCCTGCTTCCTCTAGCCTTTGCCGTCTCCTTTTCATAAAATTTAGGACAGTCGGTGCCCCAATGTCACCTCGTCTCTGTCTCTTTGTGGTATTGGTTGTTTTTGTGTTCCACCCTCACCGTCACTTTGCACATGTTTTCTGCTGTTTTTCTGCCCCCCCTGTGGATGGATATCCTATCCAGGTTTCAATGAAATAAGCCTCCTCTCTGTCGCAAAACACAAAGAGCCTGTTTGTTCCGTCGCTGATAAGCCCCATCCTGAAAGAAAGGGAGACAGAGGAAGGCAGGGGGAGGACCAGGGAGCGAAGAAAGGAGAGTGAAATAAAATAAAAAGAGTTAAGAAAGATAGCGAGAAGTCCGGCTCGTCGGTTCGAATCAGAGCGATGAAGGGCGGGTGAGATGCAGAGAGGAAGAGAGTAAAAAAAATGGAGGCCTGATATCGTCTCTGACAAAGCGGGACAGTGTGACAGAGAGGATTAAGCCAACTCCCTCCAGCCGCTCACTTTCCAGTGCTCTATCCAAACCAACCCCCCCTCAAAGATTCAGAAGAAAAGCTCCATTCGGCCACAAGCTGCAGGGCTACCAATGTCACAGCACAATCAAAGCACAAATCAAGCTGACCAGCCGTATTTAGTCAGCATTTCCGAAAGCACCTTTCAGTGGCACCGTTACAGAGCCCCTCGGCCCTGGCAGTGTTAGTGCAGCTCCTCTTATCTAAATACTACCAATTCCCCGATCGTACCACTTCGCTGCTCCCACACCAAAAGCTTTCCACGGCTTGGCACGACTACTATTGTTTGTGGCGTTTGGGTATTATTAAGAGGCTTTGGTGCCGCGGATTAATTAGCGTGTGGCTAAAGCTGGCTGAGCTTCCGTATCAGGTTTCATCCTGGAGGAGAAGAAAACAGGCTGTAGGCAGATGAGCCAAACGTCAGCGATACCACATGATGGCTCCACAAGTCACTCATTCTTCTGCATAGAAAATCTCAAGGTCATTAAATCTCCAGGGCTCAACACTAACATTTAAAACTAGCAGCCAGGCTGGCGCCAGTTTTAGTTGCTGAAACTGGAGATATGGCTGCCGCCTTATATTGTGAGTAATTGAGATACTATGCAGATGAATACGTCAGCTTGAAAACGCTACATGTATACATACATGTCATGTGTGTGAGGCATGCTTCGCACTCAAACGTCTGACTGTAACAGCAATATTTAAACATCACCAATACAACCGATAATAAAATGTTGGCAACCGTTACTGTCGAGCCCTGAGCTCCTTTTTAACGTCCTTGATATTTCAAAGTCCCTCTGCAGTTCCCACACCGGCAAGAAGTAAATGTTTGTAAGCTGCTGGGGGATAAAAAAAGATGGCCGTCAATGATCAAAGCAGTGGTAGCTGAGCAGCAGAAGATGAATGCTGATGTGGCTGAGAACAAAATCACAGACCGTACCAAAACCAGAAGCTACAGTAATTAGTCCTTTAACCACTGAGGGTGAGGAGAATCAAAAGTGTAACCCGACCACGCAATACCAAGACAGTGAGCTGATGGAAGCTTAAGAGATACTAAAAGCTGCATAGGGCTGCAGAGTTTGGTGTTAGTTGGATTTACAACTATTTGATTCTATGGTAATAAGAGAAGATAACACTTAATGCAGGTGTAACATTGCGAGTCGTTATAATACACATGGCACAAGGCATTCACACGATCAACAGTTCCTTCATTTTTAAAAAAGTCACACTGTACTCTGAGACGTCCTGGACATTTGGACAGTTTCTAACTGTTGGGCGGTGACGTCCCTGTGAGCCTCGGCCTCAGTGGGAGAGAAGCATCGTGCAGACAGAGACGTCCAGATTGGACCGTCTGTGCTTTTGTGAAAAATGACTCGTCGGGATGATTTCATTGGCGAGGAGCGATCGGCGGGGGGGCCAAGGAAACGGTCACTATGATGCCAAGCAGAGAAAGAAAGTGTAGAGGAGCGCTCCAGTGTGTTCACATACAGATACAAAGAGCGGGCTTGAAGCTTTAGGTTGAGCGCATTGTGTACATACTGGGTGGCCAAACTACGTCCCGCTGCCCATTTTAAAAAAAATAATATGAAAAAGAATATGAAACCTTTTCTCACTAGCCAACGCGTTTTGATTTGAGGCGACAGAAAAGATTGTACTATCTTCCGTTACAATTTGCAGGTTATCGTCCTCTGATCGTTAAAGTCGACCCGAACTATGTCCATGTGATGGAAGTTGCACTGGTTTTTACCAACTCCTCCTCCTCCTCCTCTTTGTCACGTGCAGCACTTTCAGCCATTTCCAAACAAAGCAGCATGCGCTTTTTAGACTATTCGTTGGCGAATCTCGCATCGATTTGTGTTACTGTAATGTTGATAAAATAAAAATAAAAAACAGCGCGATAGACATACCGTATGGCAACTTCATACCTGTGTATTTTTTATGCCTTTTATCACTGTCACTGTCAGGGTTGGTGGTACCATTCCTGAAGGGACCGTAAGTCCTGAATAAACCATAAACAAATGAGGGTTTTCTCTGTTACAATGACTGAGGGCTCTTCTTGACGTGGATTGGGCGTGTCGTTCCCACAGACGTCCGTGTTTTGGGAATCCAGATGGGCGTTTGGCGTTTTCTGCTCGCCAGCAACCGGCCTCACGCGGGCAGCCTTCCTCGGAGGGGGGTGGTGGTGGGTGGGTGGGTCATGTGATCTGCCATATGACTTAGACAGCCCATGGAGCCGCTGTCAGCATTTGGTAGGAACATGCTTAGGACAACACAATACGTGGCCCCCGAGCCGTCAGGCTTTCTCCAGCGTCATGTTATCTCCGACCATCTGAGCTATTTAAGGCATGCCCTGTTGCTGGGCTTTTCCAGCTCACACACACACACACACACACACTCGGCAATGTCTGTCTTCTGTATCTCTGCTCATCTCCTTTTTTGTTCCCATAAATCTTTTTCGTCCTCTCTCGGTGTTTCTCTCTTTCCCTTCTTTGTTTCTATCTCCTCGTCTTATCTCTTTGGACAGGCGGCTGTTTGCTGCTTGTTACTCACCATTACTGTCTCTCTCTCTCTCTCTCTCTCTTGCTTGCATGTCTCCCTCTCTCCGGGCTC